GGTGGTAGAGCATGGCCAACATCTACAACCCAAGAGCCTTCAAGAGCCCCCAAGACCCTCCTGGTCCCTCCAAGACCCCCTGGGACCCCCAACCTGCTCAAGGTAGTAGATCATGGCCAACCCATGGACCTCCCAAAGCCCCCCAAGACCCCCCGTGGGGCCCCCCTGACCTGCTCGAGGTGGTAGAGCACGGCCGAGACCTCCTGAACCCTCCGGACGATCTTCTCGGGGCTGTCGGAGTCCTCGGCCTTCCCGGCCATCTCGCGGTAGAGGGCCATCTGCCACCGCATGGAGGAGTTGTTCTCGCACTGGGGACACCGGGGAGAGACCACCGTGACCCACGGGGACCATGGGGTGGGGACACAGGGACCAGGATGACACCACGAGGACATGGGGACCACCACACCCCGGGACGTGGTGGGGATCACAAGGACCATGGGGGCCACCAGGACCATGGGGAGGTGGTGGGACACATGGTGACCATGGGGATGTGGTGGGGACCACAAGGACCACGATGACCATAGTGACCACAGGGACGTGGTGGGGACCATGGGGACCATGGGGACGTGGTGGGACACATGAGGACCACGAGGACATGGTGGGGACCACAAGGACCACGATGACCATGATGACCACGGGGGACCACAGAGACATGGTGGGACACATGGGGACCACGCGGACCACGGGTGGGACATGGAGACCATGGGGACGTGGTGGGGACCACAGGGATGTGGTGGGACACATGGGGACCACGAGGACATGGTGGGGACCACAAGGTCCACAGGGACCATGATGACCATGGGGACCACCAGGACCACGAGGACATGGTGGGACACGTGGGGACCACTGGGACCATGAGAACATGGTGGGGACCACAAGGACCACGATGACCATGGGCACCACAGGGACGTGGTGGGGACCACAAGGACCACGGGGACCATGATGACCATGGGGACCACCAGGACCACGGGGACATGGTGGGACACATGGGGACCACGGGGACCACGAGGACATGGTGGGGACCAGGGATGACACCACGGGGACCACTGGGACCATGGGGACGTGGTGGGACACATGGAGACCCACGGGGACCCAGTGGAGACCCATGGGGACATGGACCATGATGACCACGGGGACAGGGGGACCACAGGGACCACGAGGACATGGTGGGGACCACAAGGACCACGGGGACCATGATGACCATGGGGACGTGGTGGGACACATGGGGACCACAAGGACTTGGTGAGGACCACAAGGACCACGATGACCCTGGTGACCACAGGGACGTGGTGGGACCACAGGGACGTGGTGGGACACATGGGAACCACGAGGACTTGGTGGGGACCACAATGACCACGATGACCATGGTGACCACAGGGACGTGGTGGGACACATGGAGACCCATGGGGACACGGACCATGATGACCACGGGGACATGGGGACGTGGTGGGACACATGGGGACCACGAGGACATGGTGGGGACCACAAGGGCCACGATGACCATGGGCACCACAGGGACATGGTGGGATGTGGTGACCACAGAGACGTGGTGTGGACCACAGGGACGTGGTGGGACACGTGGGGGACACGTGTGGGGGGGGAGAGGGAGGAGATGACACATTGGGGTCACCGTGGGGCCACCTCACCTTGCCTTGAAGGTGGAGGTTGTTGTTGAGGAACTCCCGCACCTCCTCATCCGTGTCCTTCTGCAGAAGGTGGAGACACCACAAGAAGGAGGTCACCAAGGAACATCTCCTGACCCCCAAGGAGATGTCCCCAACCCCAGAGGGATGTCCCCACCCCCCGGAGGAGATGTCCCCGAGGCCCTACCAGGGCGTAGCGCCCCTTGGCCAAGGTGATGAGCTCCTGGTCGGTGGGGGAGCACATGTTGAGGCCGATGGGCAACATCTTCTTCAAGGTGGCCACGATGAGGGAGGTTTGGACGGAGTAACGGTCCCCCCGACGCTTCTTCTTCGTCCTCTCCTGCTCCGAGCCACCACCCTGGGGGGACAAGGGGACAACGGGAGGTCCCCGGGTCAGGGAGACCCAACCTGAAGGTCATGGAGACTCTCAAGGTCATGGGGAAGACCCTGAAGGTCATGGGGAAGACCCTGAAGGTCATGGGGAAGACCATGAAGGTCATGGGGAAGACCGTGAAGGTCATGGGGATGACTCTGAAGGTCATGGAAACCCTGAAGGTCATGGAGAAGACCCTGAAGGTCATGGAGAAGACCCTGAAGGTCATGGGGAACACCCTGAAGGTCATAGGGAAGATCCTGAAGATCATGGGGAAGATCCTGAAGGTCATGGGGAACACCCTGAAGGTCATGGAGAAGATCGTGAAGGTCATGGGGAAGACCCTGAAGGTCATGGGGAAGACCCTGAAGGTCATGGAGACCCAGAAGGTCATGGAGAAGACCCTGAAGGTCATGGGGAAGACTCTGAAGGTCATGGGGAAGACCTTGAAGGTCATGGAGACCCTGAAGGTCATGGAGAAGACCCTGAAGGTCATGGGGAAGACCCTGAAGGTCATGGAGACCCTGAAGTTCATGGAGAAGACCCATGGAGAAGATCCTGAAACTCTGAAGGTCATCGGGAAGACCGTGAAGGTCATGGGGAAAACCCTGAAGGTCATGGAGACCCTGAAGGTCATGGAGAAGATCCTGAAGGTCATGGAGAAGACTGTGAAGGTCATGGGGAAGACCCTGAAGGTCATGGGGAAGAACCTGAAGGTCATGGAGAAGACCCTGAAGTTCATGGAGAAGACCTTGAAGGTCATGGAGAAGACCCTGAAGGTCATGGAGACCCTGAAGGTCATGGGGATGACCCTGAAGGTCATGGAGACCCTGAAGTTCATGGAGAAGACCCTAAAGGTCATGGGGAAGACTCTGAAGGTCATCGGGAAGACCGTGAAGGTCATGGGGAAAACCCTGAAGGTCATGGAGACCCTGAAGGTCATGGAGAAGACTCTGAAGGTCATGGGGGAGACCCTGAAGGTCATGGAGAAGACCTTGAAGGTCATGGGGGGTCCTAATCATGGTGGCCCCATAGAAAGGGGTCCTTAGAGGAGTTGTGGGGGTCCCAGCTGTGGTGGCCCCATAGAAAGGGGTCCCAGCCATGGCTGCCCCATAGAAAGGGGTCCTAGACGTGGTGGCCCCATAGAAGAAGACCTTCTGGGGGTTCTGGGGGTCCCATAGGGCAGGACTCCGGGGGGTCGTGGGGGGTCCCAGCTGTGGTGGCCCCATAGAAAGGGGTCCTAGACGTGGTGGCCCCATAGAAAGAGACCTTCTGGGGGTTCTGGGGGTCCCATAGGGCAGGACTCCGGGGGGTCGTGGGGGGTCCCAGCTGTGGTGGCCCCATAGAAAGGGGTCCTAGACGTGGTGGCCCCATAGAAAGAGACCTTCTGGGGGTTCTGGGGGTCCCATAGGGCAGGACTCCGGGGGGTCGTGGGGGGTCCCAGCTGTGGTGGCCCCATAGAAAGGGGTCCTAGACGTGGTGGCCCCATAGAAAGGGGTCCCAGCCGTGGCTGCCCCATAGAAAGGGGTCCTAGATGTGGTGGCCCCATAGAAAGGGGTCCTAGACGTGGCTGCCCCATAGAAGAAGACCTTTTGGGGGTGCTGGGGGTCCCATAGGGCAGAACTCTGGGGGGTTGTGGGGTGTCCCAGCTTTGGTGGCCCCATAGAAAGGGGTCCTAGACATGGCTGCCCCATAGAAAGGGGTCCCAGCTGTGGTGGCCCCATAGAAAGGGGTCCTAGACATGGTGGCCCCATAGAAGAGGACCTTGTGGGGTTCTGGGGGTCCCATAGGGCAGAACTCTGGTGGGGGTCTGGGGGTCCCAGCTTTGGTGGCCCCATAGAAAGGGTTCCCAGCCGTGGTGGCCCCATAGAAAGGGGTCCCAGCCATGGCTGCCCCATAGAAAGGGGTCCTAGATGTGGTGGCCCCATAGAAAGGGGTCCTAGACGTGGCTGCCCCATAGAAGAGGACCTTGTGTGGGTTCTGGGGGTCCCATAGGGCAGAACTCTGGGGGGTTGTGGGGTGTCCCAGCTTTGGTGGCCCCATAGAAAGGGGTCCTAGACATGGCTGCCCCATAGAAAGGGGTCCCAGCTGTGGTGGCCCCATAGAAAGGGGCCCCAGACGTGTCGGCCGCATACAACAAGTGGTGGCCCCATAGAAAGGGGTCCCAGCCATGGCTGCCCCATAGAAAGGGGTCCTGGACGTGGTGGCCCCATAGAAGAGGACCTTGTGGGGGTTCTGGGGGTCCCATAGGGCAGGATTCTGGGGGGTTGTGGGGAGTCCCAGCTTTGGTGGCCCCATAGAAAGGGGTCCCAGCCATGGCTGCCCCATAGAAAGGGGTCCTAGA